CAACCCATAAATAGTAATTTTTTAAACGAATTTTTATGAGGGAAACTGACGTCTGGAATCAAATATTATAAATTATAATATAAATAATAGAGGTCAACCACCAGATGTATTAATAATTATTTTCCTTGGCATATATTCACTAAAATGTTACAATATTTAGGACGTCGGAAACGTCTTTTTTAACTATACAACCAAACGGTTTGACAGAGCATAATAAATAATAATGTATAAGTACACGTAAATTTTTCCAAAAATAAAATATTACTAGTAAACATCAAAATATTATAGGCATAGCTAAAATAGACAATCCACAATTTAATAAAATTTATTTTATCGATTATCATAATTATATTTAGAAACGAATTATTAATTAGTAATGACATTAAAAATATAATCGTTGACATAGGTGGTGATTGGATCAAATTTTAAGGAATGAAGTCTAGAATTGCATTTTAATGAACTAACAAATTTAACATTTTTAGTATACTAAAAATACTCGAGGAAGACTTGTGATTGCCAACTACAATTCGAATACTACACAAAACATCAATCAATGAACAATAATTTGTAAATATTTATGATTTTTGTATAAAAATTAAACTAAAACTATTACATTACAAAAAAAAAAAAAAATGTAACTTTACGATATTATGTAGAGATTTATAGATTCCATTGAAATATCCTGATTTGAAAAAAATTATATACCTAGTCATTTATTGTACCTTTTATATTGATTTTATAAACGTTTTACTTATTTTTTTTTTGTTAATTAATTTATTATACAAGTCTTAATGCTTAATTTATTAATGTAAGATATTATGTATTTATAAAATTTAAATATGCCTATTTTTAAATTTATTTTAAATTCATTATCATCATTTAGAAAAAAACAAGTGGGTAAATAGGCAAATTATTTAAATTTATATATAATTCAAAATAGGTAATACTTGATATAATATATATATATATATATATATATATTGGTATTGGTATACGATATACATAGGTACTATCAACACTATTAAAGTTTATAATTTTAAATGTTATAAATTTATTTATACATTTTAATATAAAATTAAGGCGGAATCAATCGTTGGCGTTGTCGATTGGTGAACAATATTATTGTGAACAGTAGTCAGCGGAATCAATATTATACATTTATTCACCCATAAACTTCTATACAATAATATTCTATAAAAACCGTTATAAAAATATTTAAATGAGTTTATAATGTCAACTATTTTATAATTATAATTAATCATCATTCGTTGCCGTTGCTACATATATTTGTTTTTAATTTTTATAGTCTTATATTAGCGTGTTTTATGCGGTAGACGCTAAATGTCTTTTTACGTGTAAGTTAGTGTGATAGGCGCTATAGTGTTTTTGTGGATCGTTAAAGATGTTTTATTACATCTTTGAATAGTAAAATTTACTATACTCACGCCATTAAAAAAAAAAAAAAAACAAAACAAAACAAGTTTGACATTCAAAAACATTTACGTGTTATCATTGCATTTATTTCTATCATATTTCATACGCCCATTCTCAGCGTATTCAAATTTTAAATCAAATACCCAATTAATTATGCACTTCCTATACAACATTTTCATCGGTAGGCAAAAAAACAGCCTTTTTAATAAACAAATGCCTGAACATTTTATTTACATTTAAATCGACATATCGATTCATATTTGAATATTAACTAAATGGTATTTAAATTCAACGGAATAATACACCTTAATATAATGATTATCATTATTATTATAAAGGTAGTAATGATATGAAATATTTTGTGAGTTTTTCTCAAAATATGGTCAATGCAGTAAGACTAGAACGGTGATATTGAATTGAGTTTAGCTTATTATCTTAATATCTTTGAATTGAGTCCATAAAGATAAAATGACATAACTATCTATATAACCGGTGATACACAATTAGTTAATACCTCGGTTAATACTTACTTAATTATTAAATTATTACGAGTGAAAAATTGAGTGTATGTTTAGATAATTACCCGCAAAATAATTATTTATTATTTTGTTATATTTCCCAAATTAATAAGATAAGTATGTACTTGAAACTTCTAAATTATTATTTTCAATACCTATACTATGATAAAATTTTAACTCTTTTCGAGACATTTATAAGTATAACAAATTTTTAATTTATTTTATAATTTTTTTATAACTGTCAATAAAAAATTATTCTCTAGGTAAAAAGTACCTTTATTTTTTATTTTTAAAAAAATATATTTAATTAATTGACTCTTCATACTTATTATTAAAACTAAAGGAAGGGACTCAACTCGAATGACGAATAATCTAACAATATTAATCAGACTCTACTCCGATAATCCAAAAGTATTTTCGGGACTCAATTCAATATGTTATCCAACTAGAAAGAGTATTATGATGACATTTATAGAATCTGGCCTATTTCTGTTTATAAGCGATATGCAGCTAATGTTATACGGTTATTATACTAACAAGAAATTATTAGAAGGAAATAGTTTTAAAAGTAACTCATAAACAGCTTATATGATTAGAAGATATTATATTAAAGTAGGACAATTTTAAATTTTAAGTGCTGGCGAATTATAAATCATATGATAGATATGTATTATTCCTGAAGATTTTAATATTCTACAAAGAAAACGGGATAACTAATATACATGTTAAAGAAAAATGCAAATGATTGAATTTATCGTAAAAGTCACCAGATAAAAATTAAATTATATTAATATTATTTTTGACGGTTTTCCGTTTTTTACAATATTAATGATTTCACTATAGAACAAAATGATGCCTGGTTATCTAAATAAAATAAACAGATAATACCTCAAACAGAGTCAGTGAAAGCATGAGTCTTACGTAAACATTTTTAAATATTTTAAAATTAACTAACTCATTTTTTATAGGTAATTAATTTACAATTATATTAAATTTCAACTTACTTGAAACGTTTATAAAACGTTAGTGTAATATAAATATAACACGATGACGCGCAAAAATGTGTATGTTTTCCGTTCAAACGATCAATTCGTGTTCAACACCCGAAAAAAACCTTGGCCACGATTCACGATTAATGAATGTTGTTACGTAGTCGATTAATTCCTTGAATTTTTTTAATTCGTTATTTTCAGACTGATCGTAAATATATTCTAAACAGTAATAAGTTTCATCTTGCATGGTATAATTATAAGTGTTTCAATAAGCAATAATGTGTAATATAAATCAAATAATAATTCATGATGATTTTCATTAAGTTTGTTACCCGATTCGAAAAATCCAAACAGCAGTGTGAAATAATAAATAAAATGAAATACACTGCATTATAAATTATTATTTTTCATGTCTTTAAACAATTAAAGTGTTAAAATATCGACAACAGAATTAGTGGGATATTAAATCATTTTTGTAATTTAGTTAAAGAAAATTGTAGAAAGAGCAGAAGTTCATTCATTCAAAGTTTACCGCTAGGTAGTCACAAAATTATATAGATAAGTACTTACTACATAAAGTAGTTACCTATTAAAGATACAATTCTGAATATTTTATATTTACTCTCTTTCTGCTGATTAGAATAAAAAAATTTTAAAAAAACAGTAATTATTTATCAGTGCCGACACCTGACATTTTTATAATATTTAAAAATATTTTCATTTTTCTGTTAATGTATTACATACTAGAGACGCAGTGGACATCCGGATGATGGGCGCGCCCTCATCCCACAAGAATTCACATGTTTTGCATAGATGTTTGCTATTTTTCGATTTATGTTAATAACATGTTTGTTTCTATTGACTAAAAGCTTAAAAACGTAATGCAGGATCCTTTATAAGTTGTTCACTAAGTTGACCAATATAACTATTTATAGTCACAATTTTTGTTAATGCTTGAATTTTATTTTTGATGAAATTCGTAAAAACTAAAAAATTTGCTATAATTTCGTGGTTAAAAAATTTAAATAATTTTAAAAATCATAAAGATTTCTGTCCTTGAATCCTAGTACCTACAGGTCTCCGAGTTTAAATGTGGTGCTATTGCAAATAGGTATTTATGTTATACCGGTACATCGTTTGAAATCGGTGTTATCTAAAACAATGTGTAAATAAATATTATTTATATTTCGTATTAACAAAATGTTGCTATAAATTATATTTATTTCTATAACTGCGTGTATGTCATACACCTATTGCTTTTTATCACTTATTTGCTTATTCTGTTCACTTTTTTAAACACCAATTGTCTGTACCTTTAATACCGATATAATCACCAGAACCATTTATCCTGTAACTTCAAGAGAAAAACACAACATCTATGATTTATCCATGAATATGGTTTTGCACGAAATAAACTTTCGAAATAACTTTTTATTTTGTTGATAACTCAAAGACAATCTAAATCATTGATTCGTATTTCGTTTAGATTATTATTATTATTAATATTATTTTTTCATTTGTCTATTAAAAATTATTGAATGCCTATTGGTATAAATAAAATAAGAACATTTCAACACGGGAGAAATTCTCTTTTGTGTATATTGATAGTGTGAAATATTGGTAAGTTTACTGTAAATTGTACTTTAAGTCTGTCACGCGCGACGCGCCACATCGTTTTTTCATTTAAAATCATTATTACGCAACACTTATTGTTAAGACTGACATGGGGCCACTTTTTAAATGTTTCGAATGAGTATTTAATACTATTATTAATTATTGGTAATATTGTATACATTCAAGATTGAACATTTTAATTCTTCTCAGTATTTCATTAAAATTGCCTATATTAAACCCCTTAAATACCAAACGTGTATCGTCCCTTATAAAAACTCAATTTTGAAAATCTAAATAGGAAAATAAAAAACTATAAAAGTTTGAACTGTATCTCATAACCGTCATGTTTACAGACATTGGTTAACATGATATTAATAAATTGTACAATATTAACCATATCGGTGGACGGCTAACGGTTTTTCTAATACTTTTCTTTTTTCAGGTGATTGCCATAATCACTTTAATTGTGATTCTGACGAGTGACATTAAAATACAGACCATCGTCATAGACTTTTTGCCCAAATCTATCGGTAAGTCTATATTATAAAATAATTTACTAATAAATACACTGTTAAATCATAAAAAAAAATATTTCTCTCTCTAGTGCAAGTAACAAGTGTAGGTAATGATTCAATTTGTTTACTCGTTTCAAAATAAAAACGCTTTTTACTAGGTTTTTCTAAGACCAAATTATTTTTATTAAAAATTAAAAATTATCATAACTATTGAATTTGTGTTATTTCCAGTACAAATCATTGTCGCTATCAACCTGCTTATGACAATATTGATTTCATCTCTACTTTTGGCCGGGATTTTTATGGTAAGCAACAAATGGTGCGGAAAACAAAGAATCTACAAAATGTATTTTCATGATGATGATTTTATTTTAGCGAAAGAAGATATTGATGCTTCCTTGGATAGTACTAACAATCATGTTATGCATTGGACTAGTCATATCAGTGATATACACTAGCATTGACTTTTTGATTCATAAATTCTATATCACTAGCATTGGGGTTCTAGTGATCGGCTTACTGTGTGTGTGTAAGTATTGCATAAATTATCCATAAAATACTTAAAAATAATATACATACTCGAACCAAAACTCATGATCATTTTTAACAGGTGTTTACGTGTACATGTGGTGGGTGACTTACAGTTATTATCAAAAAATCAAAGAAGAAGATAACCGGACTCCATATACCAGAACACCTTACTATGGTTGAAACATAAAGCTAAAATTTTTTTCATAATAATAAATGTTTGTACGATAAGTATGCAATGTTATTGCCAATAAGATTTTTCTAGACATGATGAAATAATTAACCCTCAACATTGTATATAATAACATTGTACGAGTGTATCCAAGTTATATTATCCATTAGTTTAACAAGGTTGTTTTCCATGTTAATTTTTAATGCATTATATATATATATATGTATGTATGTATTTTTTTTAATTTATAATATGTATATAATAAACAATTTAATAAAATACCCACAAAGTTAAAATAATATAATGTTAATTTTAAATAAATGTTAAAAATGTGTATATTTGGAATGCAAAACATTAAATTAATTAATCAAAACTTATTAACTCTGCAACCTGAGGTTGCTCAATTTTGGGCTGTTCTACTTGATTTGGAGCGGACGGCTGTGGATTTACTTGCTGACTAGGTATTTGGTGTGCACCATACTGTCCCATGTGAACTGGTCCACCATAAGGCATAGTAGACATCTGACCCAACATTGGCTGTTGATGTTGATTGGGTATCATTGGTTGTCCGACGGGAAGCGGGTGTTGTGGTGGACCCATATTTGGCATTTGGGGTTGTTGATGACCAGGCATCATGGACTGTGTGTGAGAACTAACACCAGGAAGTGGCTGTTGGTGCATGGAACTAATTGATGGACTAACAGAAACTGTTGAATTGATTGTGCTTGTCATAGGTGCCATTCGTGGTTGATAAATAGGCTGAGGAATATTTGAGTTAACTTGTGACATGTTACTGGACTCATTAGAAGGTAAATTCACTGGTTGGTTGTTTAGGATTGAACCTGGATTTTGAGGTATCATGTGTCTTGCAGCAACAAAACCTGCAAATTCATAAACATTTTTATTTTTATTATTATAATCTACTTTATCTAATACTTAATACCTTGAGGTTGAGGAATATGCTGAAAGTGAGCCGGTTCTGTCGACTGTGGATACCTTATACCATTATCTTGTATTTGAGATGACATTAATGAATCTATGAGATAATAAAGATAACAAACTATTAATATTTGTTTCAACATTTAATAAATAATATACTCTATTTTTAGAAAATATACTTGGTGAACTTAAGTATGAATATTAATTATAATACATCAAATACTTAAAATAAATAGTTTATTATAATTTATAACCGATAAATTAAAAATATAAAATGAAGATTATTTATAAATAACTTAAATAAGTCAATTCAATTTTTCATTGAAAATTACTAAATTTTTCAATAATTTTGTTAAATGTTTATATTTAAAATTATTATGATAAACCTAGAGCAGGCCATGTGAAGAAAGTGGATAAAATAGTAAATAAGGTCATGAAGTGAAAATCAGATCAACCAAAACTAAGATGATGGCAAGGTAGCAGTGGAGCAACCAAGTCAGAACCTGAAGCTCCTAGGAATCAAGGATGAGGAGAAGGTAGCATTGAATATACGTGTGTAGCAACACATAGTGGAAACAGCCATGGATCTAAATGGTCTTTAAAAAGTAAAAATAAAAATTCTTTCAGTTACTTACTAGGACCAGATGACATGTAAGGATTAGGTGCAGTAGGCATACTTGGCAAAGAATTCGGGCCATACATATTACTATTAAGATAGTTTTGTCTCTGATGTTCCATTCGCATAGCCATTTCTTGTTCTTGTTGTTGGACTTGTTGAAGAGTCATTTGATGTTGATACTACAAGAAAGCAGTTTAATAAGAAAACGTTTGAATTCGATATTAATAAAAGGTTAAAGGAAATTACATGTTGGTACTGTTGTTTTCTCTGTCTCAATACATCCAATTTCATAGCTAACTGAATCTGCCTCTGTTGTTCAGCAAAAGCAGCTTCTTGTTGAATTGCAGCTTTATGATCATCTCTCATAGCATCTAATGCAGCCCGTGTATCTTTAACTTGAACTAATTTGTCTTGTAACCTTTCAAAATATACTGAAAAGAGATATTTATTATAACTTTTTTTTAAATGTATTTTGTATTTTTGTTTCTACACTTCCAAGTTTATACTTAATTCAATACCTCATCTACTTAAATTAATGAATACGTTCATTAATTTAATGGTCACTAATACAGTTAAACACAATATAGTTAGAGTTAAGAATTCATTACAATTTCAGCGTTAATCAATAATACTTTTTGAAATTTCAATATAAGCAACAAAAGTCTATGCTTACATCTTTTTTCATCTTGTTGTTGAATATATTGCAATAACTTTTGATGCATTGGAGTAATCTTAGAGTAAAATGTCTCCAACGAACCACCATTAATAACAGTTCTACCTCTGCTTAAATTTGATTTGATACGATTAACAAAAATTTCCAACTGTGATTTAACAGAAGTTATAAACATTTCCATTTCCTCTGAGTCATCAGTTTGTTCATTATTCATAGCTGGACTAATTTGGTTATTTGGTGACTCAGTGGTGTTCACCTAAATTATTTAATAAATAACCTAAGATTAATATCATCCAAGATTTATAACAATTATAAAACATTATGAAAAATATACATTTGTTGGAGTCACTTTTGTTTGCATTGCCTTGGCTATATTTCCAATTTTTAGACTTTCCCAGTATGAACGATTTAAATAATGTGCCAATTCTGGATCATCTTCAGCCTCAACCTCAACTTTTTTTTCAATCTATGAAAAAAAAAAAAAAAGTAAGATAATAAATATTTGCAAAAGGGTACAAATTATTAAATTTAAAAATTATTATCATACTACTGGTGGTGAAGAATATAATCTTGTAGCTGGTGTTGAAGTAGAATTCATAAAAGGTATTGCCTATTGGAAAGTATAAATTATTATATTATATAATACAAAATTTTATAATTATAATTTATTATTTTTTATTAATATATAAATAATTAAGAATGAATTATTTTTAAGTTATATTACTTTTTGTTGTTCTGCTTCAGATTGGGATAAGGCTAAAGCCAATTGTAATTCTTCATCTTCTCTTAGTTCTTCTTCTGTTTTTCTATTGGCTGCCGGTATCTAACAAATTAATTTACTTTATTCAAAATATTTTATGTGAAACATTAAAAAGTTTGAGGATATATTTAATATAAAACTCTTAGTTATGATTGAGAAATAAATTCTTACAACAGTTTAATTAATTAATTAGAGTATATTTATAATTAGGTCTCAAATGTATATTCGAAATTAAATAAAGTTTCTTAAATTGTACTCTAAATGTATTAGATATTTATTAATTAATGATAACTTATGATTAAGTTAGTAGGTCACTCATAAATTTCTTCCATCATATAATCAATTTTTTGTGATTCTATACAAAATTTAGTTATTGTTTTTAATTTGACAAATAGTAAATTATTCATCACTTAAGATATAGAAATAAAGATAACTCAAAATCAACTAAATGTTTCTGACTTTTTATTTTTCATTTAACTGTAGAAGTTAACATTTACAGATTACTTAAATTGTAGTCTTAAATTTAGTTTAGAATATAAAATAATAAAAAAATTTGAATTTTATAACCTTTAAGCCTATTAAAAATATCTTTTATAAAATTTTATCTACTTGAAAAAAAATTGTTAAACTCATAGATTTAATGAAACTAAATTGTGAAGTAGTGATATATTTAAAATTGTATAGACTACAATTCAAGATTGGATATAGATGAGTGATTATGGGATATTGACAGTGTACGAATAAAACAATGCTTCCTTAATACACACTAAAATGCTATCACTTTTCAGATAAAACATTATCTATATTTTTATGCTTGCTACTTCCAAGGTGAACAACTCTCAAATAATAAATAAACCTTACTTGATTTTGTTGAGCCAAAGAACTAGTAAGATATTCTATAGGTAAATCTTCTGATCCTTTGTTCATTTGCGGTCTAAATTAAAAATTATAAATACTAATTAGTTTTAAATAATATAATTAACAAATAAAAATATAAAATAATTAAAATACCAATTTAGTATTCTTAATTTGTTATACACAAAATAATTAAGAGATTTTTCAGATTGATAATTTATTATAAACTAGTATATACTATATAGTATTAGCTGAATAATCTCTACAATAAAATTGAGTGTTAGCTGACTAGCATATTTGAAAAGATACAAAATATTAGCTGAATAATAAAGTCAATAAAAAACCAATTGCTGAATATTCGCTGAAGTATAATATTTTTAAAACATAAATATTAATTAATACTAATAGGTTTTAGATAGGTAAAAATTCATATCTGGTATTTATCAATCAAGTTATTGAAAGACACCTTAGAATATCTCTAAAAAATATACATTATAACTTAAATTGAATTTTGTACTTTTGTGATTTTTCAAAGCAAGCTTCACAAACACGAACAGGTTTCTCAATACCAAATTTTGGTAATGTACAAGAGCGTGATGAACATTGTGCACAGAAAACTTGGCCACAAGCACGACAATGATGCTAAAAAAAACAAAAATATATATCCAAAGCAATATTAACTCATTTTAATATTAAATAAAACAACTTACTTTGCGTTGCACCATTCCAAATTTAACGCGACATCTATGACAGCAATCAGAATCTTCCCAACCAGGAGCTACATCTGAACTGAACATAGCATCACTTTCTTTAAGTGCAGGAAATGTATAACCTTCAGCTTTCATTATGTTGACTGTATCCTATTAGAGAAAAAAAAATTATAAAAACAAACAAAATTAAATATAAAACATCATGTTCAATATAATAGTATTTCTTTTTTGATAAAATACATAGGTAAATAATATTATAAAATAAAATAGAATGAACTATGAATTATTAAATTTAAATAAAAATACATATTGTCAAGAATATATACCTGAACAGCACAATATTTGGGAATAGCTCGGAAAGCAAAAGCCCAAGTCTGTAATAGTTCAAGTAATTTGTTTTTAACATTTTCATGTGGAGTAGTTTTTATAATTTCTCTTATTTGTTCCATAAAAGGTTTAGTTCCAACTTCATCATGTACTAATTGACCACAATTTTTAACACAACATTCCAAGACCTAAAAATAATATTTTATTACTTTTAAGAAATATAATAATTTAATTTATAAAATACTTACCAGTAAGCTATACATGGCGGTATGAGGATTTGGACTAATCAATTTTTTCTTGATAGCATTGAGTGCAAATTTTGGTCTGAAAGATATTATTACTATGTTTAATAGATTTTTAATGTTTACATATTTAATGCATTTTGATTAAGTATGTGATAAAAATAATAAGTATTTAAGATCCCTAAATATTTTTATAGATAAATTATTTGAACTTTTAATCTATTTCTAATGTAATTTTCAAATATATATTAACTATTATATGTATTTTCTATGTTACAGAATTTAATTGTTAACAATTTTAATATAGCTTTTATAAATTATTATCAAATATGTTTACATCATTCTTTTACAATAACTGATACAAAACTAAGATGGATACTTAAGAACTGTTTACTGTAGTATATACTAAAATTTTTTAGTTCACCACGCCACAAACTATTGCTATTTATTTCATAGACTTATTTAATACTAAGCCATTAATGTATTTTATTTAATATTTATACTCATTAAAAAGAGTATGTATACAAATCCAAATTAAAATTCATCTTTCTATACATTTGTTGACTCCGAACAATTCTGATTAAAAACCTATACATTTCATATCTTATAGGTTCTAATATTAAAATATATACTTGCTTAATTATGCATATTTCAAGGAAATTATATTATAATTTCATAACTTTATATAAATACATATAAGTTGTAGCGCTATTAAAAATGTTAATATAGTTCAGTCATTTTGTTTTTTTCTAATACAATAATTATCTATTGTTTAAAGGACTAAGACAGGACTCATAACTATGTCATCTATAATGTAATATTTCTTTAATTGTATTCTAATTAGCCGTTGTAATATTATGGTATCATTTACTTATTATAATCTACTAAATATTTTAGACATTGTATAGCTGTGAAACCAGCTTAAATTTTTCATTAAATCACAGATACTTTTAATTCGTAAAATAAAAAGGAAATTATAGAATGGGATGAAAATAGTGATGAACTATCAGTTGAAAATATATGCTTTATAAATCATGTAAGAATATAACATTGTCAGAAATGTTTTGTTGTAGAAGAATATAATAAGTATGAGATAAAAGTTTTAAATTTTAAATTTTAAATCATTTTTGTATAACTTCATGCTGGTATATATTTCATAACAATATATAATTCAAAATTGTGTTATTACATTAAATAGGTACCTGCTTAAATGTTTTTTGTTCAAAGGTTTATATCATATACTAAGTAAATGTAAACATGAAACTAAAAAAACTATTATTTTTTAATATATGATACAGAGAAAGGATTAAAATATTATGTATTTTGGAAATTACTTATCAAATTTATAAAATATTTTTAAAAATTTAGTTGTTATCCGTTTGTACAATATTTCTATTGTTTGTAATTTTGATATTATTTAATATATTAAAACAAACATTAAATATAATTTTACTTACTGAACATCTTTTTGCCGTATTGTGTCACATATTTCTAATGTTGTAGGCCAATCTGCTTCCAACAACAAATTGCTGGTCACTTTATCTGTAAATTTAGATCAAACATAGAAACATAAAAACTGTATTGTATACAATATAATAGTATTGCGATCATGACATTACAACTTACCGAGTAGTTTTTCAAAATTGGATTTAAACATTTTGTTAACCGTGATTTTCAGTATGTACTAAACAAAAAAAAAATAGAAGTTATAGACTATGGGATTGTTGATGGCGTACGATATCCGTATGATGAACTGAGATGTTATAAATATATTTATTTTTTCTACATAAACTATAAAGTGTTAATTAAACTAGGTAATAAAAATTTGTAGTTATATAAAACAGAATAACAATAAACATAGAAAAGATTAAAGAGATTAAAAAGACAATAAATCTATGACGAAATCACGAAATGACAACAGCGAAATCAGGAATCGTTTTTTAATTCGCTGAACCTTGTCAATTATCAATTCGTTATCATGAACAGTGAGCCAGTTGTCACTTGTCACCGCCCAGACGGATGTTTTTGTAGTGTAATATATTTGGTATGATAATATTGGTAAAGTATGTATAACATTATCACCTTATCGATTGTTACAATAACAACAAAAGAGATTTACCGAAAATCTGTTTGCTGACAAACAATAATTAAATGGTTTTCTGTTTATAGTCAAAACTGTATAATTAAATATTAGAAAAAATCTAAAGCTAAAACGTTCTGTTAAGACATGCAAATTACATTTTTTGTTCAATAAACGGCTACACTGCTTACTGAAGGTTCATACATTTGGAGATGTGAAAGTGAATCCTCAAGCCAGTGTAATATTAATTATTAAACTTTTAAAAGTTAATAAAAAATAAATAAATATTATTAAATAAAGAATAAAAATTCTACCAATTATGTTATTACTATTTCTAATTTTTATTAACAAATTATTTTGTAAGTATTCTCCTTATCTTGGCATACGTAGGTATGAGAATATTGGATGACTAATGAGAACTTAGCCTACTTCAAACTAAGAGTTATAAGGCCTCCCAAAAATTTTAGGTTTTATGAGTATTTTATATAGTTTGTTATTATTTTACATTATGATATAACATTACATACATATTATTTAACATAACTACTCGTTTTTACCAGGTATAAAAAAATTGTTTAGCTTATTTTAAGTTTTGAGCATATTTTATAAAACAATAAACAGCTGATTTTTAGTAAAACTTTATAGGTACTTAGGAATATATACATCTATATCATGATAACATTATTATAATGCCCCATTAGTTTAAAAATTCTAACACAAAACTATATTTTGTCCAACCAAAGTACCTATATAAGTATATAATTGAAGTGCATATTCAATACCATCAAAACTTATTCCTAAAGTTAAAGCGTCATACTGTAAAACAATTTACAAATTATAATGACATACATTTCAAAGATCGATACGTATATTTAATTGTATGAATTTATATGGATGTTTACTGCTATTAGTGCCATTGGCTGTTATATTATCTATTATGTACCATTTACTCAAAAAATCCCAATTAGAGTCTGCAGTAGACTTTGTGTATATGTATATTGTATAATTCGTTTTTATTTTATTTTCTTTAATATTTTTCTGCCAATTAAAATTTAAAATTCATTTGGTATCCATAATGATAAATCTGGATGTATTTTTAAATCATTCTTTATCATCATTGCCAAGGGTCATCAATCATCAAACATTACCTATTCAACGCTCAGGCCCAATATTTGTAAGTTTAATCGTTTATGTCTTAAAAGTCAATGGTTTTTTTAAAGAAGTCCATAAGTGTCCATTTATCTAACTCACAAGTTTCTTCAAAATTCTCAACGATGAACTTGACTATATCTTCATACGACAATACATTTTTGTTATTATTTTTATACCTACATACAATTATATATAATATTAATATTCCCTAGGTAAAATAATCTTTCTCTTTCTATGTATATATACAGAGTGATTCAGCTATAAAAATTCTAATAAATAATATATTATTTGAAACATTTTAATTTCAGTTTTGTCAGTTCTATACAAATTTTGTTTAAATTTATATTGATTGAAAATTATTGATTTGTTATACAAAATTCGTAATAAGATAATTTATATAAAAAAATAAAATAATGTAAAAAATATATAACTTACCTAATTTAAGTTAATATAGGTTAAATATCAAATGTTCAAACATAAGTTCAAAGAAAAAAAATAATAATGTTATAAAAAAACCCTATGAGTAATAGGTTAATTTAATTTTAAAGTTTAATTAAAATGTAATTTTTTTTTACAATTAATAAAATATAAGAAAAATATCAATAGTTAATAAGTTAGTATCAATAGTATCACATAAAATTATAGAAACTACAGAATAAGGCTAATTCCATGAGAACGCAGAGACCTTTGATGAAGCCCCTAGCCTCTGGCTGAATTGACTATATCGTCATCTTTTTCGCCACTGCATGCGCATCCACCTCCTGAGCAATAGCTGTGAACACAAAATTCTGCGAGCGATAACTGGACCTTTTCTTTTTAATAAGTTTAACCAGTGATATTTTTAATTGGACTCAAGTGTTCAGGAAGTTGTCTTTTCATTTTGTATTACCTAACAAGTATCACATAATCGTTGCTGCAAATTTGGCCAATCTGGGAAGATGCATAAATGCTGCATGATTATATTATGCTATACCTATATTATTGTTATAGATTATATAATAAATTTGCATAAAGCTGTACTTGATCATATTTTCGAGAACCCTTCGAAGATCAGGAGGAAGAAAATGACTTGAATTTAATATTAGTATCTGACGAGGTAACTGATGAGTGATTATATTTTCCAGAACTTATAAATGTAGTAGTATATCGCCTTAGTTACATTTTTACTTACATTTATCTTTGTTTTATTTCATTTTTTTTTCCTATTTTTCTCGTTATTAATTAAACGAATATGTTAAAAATTTGATTTACTTGAAGATTGCTATTTTTCCTAATTTTTTATTTGTTTTCCCAATTATAAAAATTAGTTCTAGGAATTTTTAAGTTAGACCTCATAAAAGTACAGACTAAATCCAAAATAATGTTCAAAACCACCCTCGTTTTATGAAAATTATTGAGGAATTTTATCGATAACTTAAAGTGTAGATATTTATCCAAAAAAAAAAAAACAAATACAATATGACAAAATTAATGGCTATTATATTGCTCAGATTTCAAAACGGATTAATCTAATAATATTTAAACGTATTGTATGTAATATCGCAATATTTTTAGAATTTCAGATTTTAAAAAGAATATGTAGCCATGTAGGAATAAAGATATTTTTAAAATCCACTAAAACAAGTAACAACCTTATGAGAATTCTCATGTAAAAATATTCAAATTTTAGTTTTTATTTGAAAATTTTTTCAAAATTTCAAATGTCTATAAATAGCATTAAAAATGCCAAAATGTTTTGAAAATTACATTAAATCAAGTAAAGGTTACTATGAATATTTTGTGAAAATTCCAAGTCTCTATAACTATTTTTGAATTACAAAATATTTTGTAAATGTTAACTCGTTAATGGTTAAATGGAAACTAATAATTATAACGTTAAAATTCATAAAAAAAATAGTCCTATTATTATGACATTTAAAATATAGGTTACCATTTGAAAATCAAAAATCAATGATAGTGGTTTCACTATTATATATAAACGTGGAAAAAATAAAAATGTTATATAGTTCTAGAAAAGTATAAAACTAAACATTTTGAAAAAAGTCAACACATTTTAAAATAATGAGTGTTCAATGATAAAAGAATCACTATTCACTCTGTATATGTTTTTTGACCTCTGCTTGTTCAGAGGTTCCTAGACTATTTTCAATAAAAGTTATATTGATGAAATCTTTAAGTCTCTGTAGTTTATTTTTACAGTTCTTATAAAATGCTGTATATAGTAGCTGAATTAGCTGATAGGTAACGTATAAAATAATGCAAATTACAACAAATAACTCAATGCGTACAAAGGATAGTTTAAAAATATTGTAAATAATTATTTAATATATAATTTAATTATTTTAATTAAATAATTATTAAGCAGTATAATTTCTTGTAAAATTTTACACGCGTTAAGCCAGACAATTCAGCCATATTGTAATATAAACTTTAATCTATTAAATAATATGCAATATTTTATTATAATAATATATTTGCTAATATGTATATGTAGTAGCGCTGTCTGTCATGTATTTTTAATTATTCGAATAGTCATTTACCTATAGGCCAAAAGTGCTACCTTCCATCAGTGAAAGTGTGCATTTAAAAAATCGATCTAACATTCATGAATACAGGGTTATACATTTATATCTTGTAATCTTAATGTATACAAAATATGTATTTATTTGAAATGGAAAAATCCGAACTCCAAACACCTTGATCATATATCTACTACTATTTCAACTATTGGTAATTATTTATAACTTTAGAATTATTTTGAATTTTAAAAATGATAATGATAAAAATAAGAAAAATATAATTTTTTTAATATATTTGTCTGTAAAACAAAATATTTTCTAACAAGTAAGGGACTTTTCAAAAAAAAAAAAATAGTGTTAACACTTAAATAAATCACTTTATATGCTGTGGTTTTGAAATTATGGTAACAATTTATCTGTATTAAAAAAATGATTGTTCCAGATATAAAACGTTTCGAGTGCAGATTATCCATTTATAAATTATAAAACAAAATTTGAAATGGTAAAAATTTAAATAAGAAAGTAAAAACACTTCATTCCGATATGCTTAATAATAAGAAAATTATATTAACATGTAAATATATAACTCAATTATTCACAGTGTAAATATACAGTTAGATTTGCTTATAATGATATTTGAGGAGCCTAGAAATTTAAATCACTTTAAATTCAAACTTTAGGATAGGATCCAAGTTGTAAAAAATAAAAATTGTAGATATGTGTAGAATATATATTGATGCAGTTAAAGAAAGGCCTCAATAATATTATATTAAATATTACCTTTTCAATATATATTGGCATTTGACGTAATTAATTTCAACATACAAGTTACAGCAATCATTAGATTACAAATTTTCATATCGTACAAGATCCAACATTCTACAAACTCTATAAGAAAATTGGGTA